CAACACTCTTCCCTCCTGTCCCCAAAAAACGCAGAGTCACATACGCATGCACCCGATCCAAAGTCAGTGGTCGCTTCTTCGCCCAACACAGAATTAAGTTCGGAGAGCGACTCGTGCCAATTTAGCTAGATTGATGGTAGGGGAACTCCAGCATTGGTTTTCAAGTTGATGTATATAGATGAACCAAGACTAAAAATCAGGGTTTAGCCTCGTAATTATCATGAGATATATACCCATGAAAATGAAGAAATCATGATCACGTTCGAAAATAACTAGCTATATCATACTCTCTAGCTAAAACTCAGAAAATGAGCCATTTTGTTTAGTAATGTACCATTCATTATGTTGTAGACTTTTTATTTCTTATTATTCCACATATCTAAAATGGCTAAGCCAACCTTTTTATTCACGTTAGTCCAGATTTTTTTGTTAGTACTAGTGATTAGTGAATACAAGGTAAGAAAATTGTTTGAGCTTTTCCGACGAAAAGTTGAGTGGTTAGACATCTACGTATCGTCAAGCGCTTCATGTGTTTTCTGAGGGATTTGTGGGAAGTATGAAATAAAAAAAAACATATGAAGGCCTAGAGAGAGAAAGTAGAGAGAGACGTAGTAGTGAATGTATATGGCTTGATCATTTATAACGAGAGAACTCCTATCTATACAAGTTGGAGGGATATGTACATGAGTTAGGCGCCTGTCAAGCCATTAATGCTATAATCGGGCACTTGACTCTTTATATCACTATCGACAATACGTTTTTCAGAGGGTGTAAGGAAGTTGTTAAGTACCATACATGGGCCTGTATAAGATCTAACATAACATTCTCCCAACAACTCGAGTTATTGGGACCAACCAGTTTATGACATGGTATCAGAGCTGGTTTGTCCTTGAGGTCACGTGTTCAAGTCCTCACGACCCCCAATATTAACTGTTGTCTTTCAAGCACATGGTATGGCGGTCTGTGCAAACTTCAAGCCCCATGCGTCGGCTTTCGTTTGGGGGGGGGGTGTAAGGAAGTTGTTAAATACCACACATGGGCCTGTATAAGATCCAACATAACATTCTCCCAACAACTCGAGGTATTGGGACCAACTGGTTTATGACAGGAGGTGCATGAGATTATATCCTTCGTCCCACTGGCTCCTGCTATGTTGATGTAAGCTCTTGGAGTATACATCTTGGATTTGGCTTTTTCTACCCCCTTTGATTCTGTCGTTGTGATGTCAGCTGAAATGGGGGGAGTTCTTGTTGGAACTCCAAAGTTTGCATAGGCCCACCATACTATGTGCTTAAATAGACTATTAGTATTGAAATAGTAATATTCGAACACTTGATCAAATCAGTTTTGATACCATATCATAAACCAACCTACCCCAATAACTCAAACTTTTATAAAAAGGTTAATTCTTAATTTTATTCCACTCTCTTACTTACCTCTTCACATTCATTTCACAATCATTGTTTCCCCTTACAAAAGGGAAGATTAATTAAAGTCACTGCTATAACTCAAACTTATCAAATTACATGGAGTAGATCAAAAGGAAACAACACTAAGAGAGACATTGTGAAGCAGAATGGTAACGTATTGATGCGCCATGCTAAGCTCATTAATTTTGTTGTCGGTTTTTCAGAGAGGGATCATGAGCAATCAGCATGTGTATGGGCATATGATCAATCTGTCATCGTCCATGAACATGATTATACCTTTTTCTCCAAGATAAGAACACGATGATTCCTTAGCGCATAATCATGGGCAATATATATAAATGTATGGGGATTGGGGAGCTATATATATATATATATATATATATATATATATATATGCGAGAATAACCCAAAAATCAACAGAAACCATTATGGTAGTTTCTTGGATGCATATGAAAAGAGGGATCTCATCTTGGCTAACTATCAATCACCATGTGCAAATTGGCGAAAGGTAGCAAAAAGGGAGTCAAAATTATTTTGGTACAACGCACAGCAAATTTTGTGGCCTGCTGCATCTTTGGCCGGCTGCTAGTTTTCCAGATGTGCAAACATGCAGATGGCGTTGTGATAAAAGAAGAATACATATATGGAGCCAAATTCGGTTAATGGTTTTTCCGAGTCTCCATCAGCCCCCACGAATAGGGTTTGCCAACGGGAGAGCGGCCAAATGTGTATTTTGCTACAAGACATATCTATCCCAAAACAGCAAAGCTATTGCGTCGGAGTGATCATTGGATAATTCGTGATCAACCCAATTATATAAGAGAACACTTTACAAACACGCTTTCCTTCGTTTCGTCATTCACGTGTCTTTAGCTTGACATCAACATCATTTGAAACACGATATGAAACTACTTAAATCATATAATTTCTCACAAGGAAGATCCTCCACAAAGACATTTCTAAGGGCTGAATCCCAAAAGTGGGCCTGGTTGGCTCCGATAATGGGTTGTGTTGTGCTAACGGAGAACAACACAGGTGAGGTGAAGGTAACGAACTTGGGCTGAGAAACATGGCTAATTGACTGAACTTGGGCCTGGTTACTCCTCGTCCCGGAATAGTACCCACTATTCTTTTCTTAACATCGAAGCTGTTGGTACTAGATAAAAATGTTAAAGTTAACTAGAGACACTTTTGATTTTCTTTGACTCTAAGAAAAAAGGAAAACAAAACTGAGTTACAAGATTGAAGTGAGAAAATCAAAAGGCAAGACACTAGACCCGAATCCGCGCAGGGATTCGTTACAACTTTTGACAGACTGAACCTATACCTCAACCTGGATCAAAGCCACTGTTTAACCCTTTGCCTTATCTCACAAAGAATTCCACCAAACAGTTAAAATGAAGAAGATCTTCGAGCTCTAGCCTTCAGAGAAGGTAGCCGTTGGAGGCCTTTTCCAGTTATGGAAGTTGTTCAATTCATCAATCAGCTCCCCTTGATTCAGGCATCAATTACCTCGATTCCTTTATTTGAATTTAAGCAATCTCCTGACTTGATTTGATTGGAAATCTTCTAGACCAACATTTTCTTCGTTTCGTCATGCACATGTCTTTAGCTTGACATCAACATCATTTGAAACACGATATGAAACTACATAAATCATATAATTTCTCACAAGGAAGATCCTCCACAAAGACATTTCTAAAGGCTGAATCCCAAAAGTGGGCCTGGTTTGCTCCGATATGGGTTGTGTTGTGCTAACGGAGAACAACACAGGTGAGGTGAAGGTAACGAGCTTGGGCTGAGAAACATGGCTAATTGACTGAATAAAGCCCAATATGCTCCATACTTGCTCGACACAATCAGACAGACGGAGAATGTTGTTATTAGGAAATCCGGATTAAGCCTTGGCACGTGAAGATTGTTCGGATTAAGCCTTGCACATTAGTGAGCAAGTGGTTGTGAAATCACAAGCTATAGGAAGCATTTTATCCTGCTAGGACGTTTCCATTTTATCCTGGTAACATGGTGGCTAGGATACATTTTGTAGGGTAGTATATATTAAGGATAGAAGAGGTGCAGGTAACTCAGCCAACCGCGCGAAGAGAGTGTTTTAGCTTTCTAGGCAGTCAGTTTCTGATCCATCTTCTCAACGATACACTTATAGGGTATGTCTAGTGAGTCGTCCATGAAGGACAAGAACACCTAAGTACTTTTCAAGGTTAGTTGTTGTTGGGATACCAAGCTCCTTACTAACATTTGTTATTTTATTTTATCATTAGCATGAGCAGTTTTAGAGAAAAATACCTTAGACTTGTCCTTCCTAATAATTTCCATCGATGTTTTACAGAAAAATTCAACACAACTAATGATACATGCGACTTGTTTTGCAACTTGCAATAACTCCTAGTGATGATTGGGATGTGGAATTGCACGGGGCATTTAGAAAGTTTAAGGTGAATACCATAGTAGCTAAAATCAAGTTTGCAGAGAAAGATGTAAACTCAAGTTTTCAAGGGTAAGGAAGACTAATTATGTTCTCCTTGGCCAAATTAAAAATGAGGTAGAAGGTGTTACTGGTGGTGATGGAGTGGAGGAGACCTAGATCACCCAAGCTTGTGCTATGTGACTGCTCTTTGATATAGGTTAATTTGGTAGTATTTTGTTTTACAGTATGTTTTGACTACAAATTTGTAGATAGCCAGTGATCTTGGGTGATTGTGAACCAACTAATGTTGGCAGTTGTGTTGCCAAATAGTACTTGTTCTTTTTATCATAATAAATACCCTACTAATTCATATAAAAAAAATATAAGTATCATTGTAACAATATGGTTTCCTTTTGATGTCTCTTGTCCATTATTATACGATTCATGTATATGTAAAGGATACGAATTACCATCGCTTACACTCTTGGTTTCATGCCTATTGTAGGATTCGTAATTGTAAAGTACCCCCATTGGAACGATGGATTACTCGAAGGGGAATAAGAACATACATCATAGATGAAGTTGAAATAAAATAAGTGAAAACTATTTGTCAATAAGTCGCTTTGGCCGAGTGGTTAAGGCGTGTGCCTGCTAAGTACATGGGATTTTCCCGCGAGAGTTCGAATCTCTCAGGCGCGAACTCTCAGGCGACGATGATTTTCATGGATTATATAAGGGTTATTTTATTGTTAGATTTGGTTCTTATATAAGCTTTTTGGCTGAATTTGTTTATTTAATTTTAAAAATAAGTACCTATATTAAAACATTGATTCGTTTTGTTTTTCAGATTTAATGATGATTTTTTTGAATTAGATTTATGATTTTAAAAAGAAACCTACTTTATAGCCTTTAAAAGTTGGAATAATGGAACAAATTGGAGCTGAAGTAGTCATTAAACATCAAATTTTCAATAAAAAAATTTCAAATAACACCTATTTAATTGGATTTTCTAAACTCACAAGATCATAAATTTGGAACAGAAAGTAAAAAAGAATTCAAATTCTTGGATCCAACGAACTTGGCACCACTCATTTTGAATAAACAAACATAAATTAGGCCGAACACTTTATGACTGCGATTTGAGTCACAAATTCATTGGTGAAACCAGACCAAGTATAAAATCTAATGATTCATTGCAATTTACAATAGAAAAACAAAAAAAAGTCAAACTATTATAAATGTTGTGGTTGGGTAGAAAAAGACCACAAGTGGCAAACAATAAAGAAATTTATGTGCATTGAGATTACATAATCTCACACCCCTAGAAGACAATAAAGCTTTTTCACCAATTACATACAATTGTCTAATTTAGTCCAACTCACTCGGCCTTTTTTTCGTTATGTTCTTCTTTCAATATACATATATTCGGAAAAAAAACTATAATCGCAAATCTCTCCCTCCTCTCTGTGTTACTCTCTCACTCTCTACCAAATCAGAATTCATTATCGAGGTTAGTAATAGAATCATATTGATCATCTCCATTATGCAGCAGCAGTAGGGTCCGGACCAGCTGGTTTGGAGTTGAGCAATGGTTGAAGCGCCTTGACAACAATTGTCATGTTTGGCCTGAAATCTGCCTCGTACTGGACACAAAGCGCTGCAACGGCTGCTAGCTAAAATGCCATTTTTATCACCACAAGAACAACATAAGTTGTCACGATTTAGAATTGACTTGGTTTCAATAACTTATCAATGAAAGCAATTGATGGTTGAAAATTTGGGGGGATTAATTAAGAACCTTGGCAACTGCCTTTGGTGGATACTCATTGTTTAGCTTGGGATCCACACATTGCTTCACTTTGTCTTCGCTCAATCTGGGTGTAGCCTGCAACCCACATTTGATATAGTTAGAAATATTGAAAACTAATCATAGAAGGGTATACAAGAATCCTCGTATTTTAAAAATTGTGAAGAAGAGAAAATGGAGTAATGTTTTGTGAGATACCCATGTAACAAGACTCTGTTGGCCTTTAGGCATTGTATGGTCTACAGGCTTTCTACCTGTGAGAAGCTCTAATAAAACCACACCAAAACTGTAAACATCACTCTTTTGAGTTATTTGTCCTGTCATGGCATACCTGGCATCAAAACAAACAAAACCAAATTGTTAATGGGTGGATTTGGTCAAGCTAAACTCCGGGGTTATCTATTTTGATGGAATATTATAGTAAATAATGATTACTCTGGAGCATGGTAGCCAAAGGTTCCCAAGACTCGAGTCGAATGTAGGCGAGCTGCGGTATCAGAAGAAGCACTAGAGATATTGAAATCTGCTATCTTGGAGGTAAAATCATCAAAGAGCAACACATTGCTGGACCTCACATCCCTATGAACTATTGGAGGCTGACATTTCTCGTGTAGATAGTCTAAACCTTTTGCCGCTCCAAATGCTATCTTCACCCTCTGGTTCCAGTTCAGAACTGGCCCTGGCTCAGCCCCTTGTACCCCTTTCCTCCCTGTGTAAACACACTTGCAGAGATCATAACTCAAATTCTAGTTTTTACTAAAAGCTACTTGATTCCAATTGGAGAAATATCATATTGGAAGAAACATATAAAGTTAAAGTTACCGTGTAGCACATCGTGCAATGAGCCCATTGAGGCATATTGGTAGACCAAGATTCGGTTGTTTGCCTCTAAGCAATACCCCATTAGCTCCACAAAATGGTCATTTTTCAATCTCGAAACCACGGATAACTGCAGTGATTGATATACCAAAGAAAACAAGTTGTGTTATTTCATACGAGATGAGGATGGGGTAAATGTATAATATTATTTTTATGTTTTTGGGGATATTATGTGTGTGACCTGTGCTGAAAAATCGGTGTCGGGTTCTTGGGAAGTGCTGGTGTCAAGCTTTTTTATCGCCGCCGGCACACCGTCGCTTAAAGTTGCATAGAAAACGCGACCATAGGATCCTTCTCCGATCAGCGACTTCGGGCCGAAGTTGTCAGTTAATCTGTTAAGCTCTTCCAATGGTATGCTTGGGGTTTCGATTGGCAACACCTTCTGTGGAACTCCTCTTGGTGGGTTAGCCTTTGGTTCAGGTGCTGTCACCACAAATAGTTTTTTGCATGAAGAGGGAGAGAGACAGAGAAAGAAGGAGAGAGAAAGAAAGAGGGTGTCATAAATCAGTTGGTCTCAATAAATCGAGTTGTTGGGAGAAGGTTATGGTGGGATCTTATATCACTCTCTAACACGCCCCCTCAAACGAAAGCCAACCCATGGGCTTGAAGTTTGCACAGACGATTGTCATACCTTGTGCTTTAACCAACTGTTAATATTGGGAGGTTGTGGAGATTCGAACACGCCCCCTCAAACTTAAAGTTGGCTTTCGTTTTAGGGGGGCGTGTTAGAGAGTGGTATAAGTTCTCGCGACAACTCAAGTTATTGGACCAACTGGGTTATGACAGAGGGAGAGAGTAATGTACCGCCATAAGGGCTGCCTTTGGGAGGGGCAGTGTATTGATTAGCAGGGGGATAAGGTTCCTCCTCTGCACCTCCGCAACACAACATAATAATCAACTCTTTCTTTCTCTCTGCTGATTAATTTTTGTTAATGACAAATATAAAAACCGCTTCATATCATGAACATAATCCGATGAGCAAACTGCTAAATCCAAAATGGATCTAATTTATTATGAGCAGAAGAACTCACATTGACAAAGAAAAAATTGGCAAAAGGCTGAGTGGAGTCTTCTTCCTTCCTTTTGGGAAAAACTAGGCCGATATTGAAGCAGTTGAAAGAAGATCCATAACCAGGACTTTTGGGATAAAATGATGACCAATGAGATTGATTGTCGTAAAGGATCCTGAATCCAACGAGATGTTGATCGATGAATGAATGAGAGAAAAAGATTGAAAAGATTATAGGAAAAATACAACAATTTTGGTGAAATCTTCTTCTTCTTCCTCCTCTTCCTCCTCCTCTCTCTCTTTTGATTTTGTTGTTGTTAGGGTTGGGAGGGAGGTAGAGTAACGATAATCCGGGTGGGCAGGCTCTCTTGCCTTCGCTTTTCCTTTGCGCTTTTGCTATGTTTTCTGCCCTTTTTCCCTGCGCCTCTCTCTAATTTGCTATTATTTTGATGGTTTCTCAAAAAATGATATATATTTGCGTATATTATAGCAACAACTATTAGGTAAGACGAACAACCCTTTAAATCTAACCTCTCCCCTATCTCTGTGTGCCTTCACATTTCCTAATTCACTAGTCCTCAATCACTATTTTCTTCCTCTCTCTCGTTCCATTTGTCTTTTCTAATTCGTAATTCTTATGGTTATGGCACCACTTATAATATAACTAAGAGCATCGTAGACGTATGTTCTCTGTTTAGTAATTTAATTAAAATTTGGACATCACACTTTGACACAAAAACTGAATCGAAGACGTAAAAGAACACATTGGTTAGTAATATCATGACGATTTGTGTAAATTGGGAAGTCTTTCACAGTATGGTAGATCTTCGTTCGAGTCACTCAAATTAATGACGATTTTTGTCCTTTCAACAGAGTACTTGTCTAACTTTACGTTAACCTTGCACAACTTTATATATATAAGTACGATATATCATGCGAATCAAAGCGATAGATGCAGTGCTACAAGATAATAGTACCATGAAAACGGTAATGATGTGGATGCAGATGAATTTAGTTATTAATTAACAGATATGATACAAATAAATTCGTTCCATTGATTGACACAGGCAAGGCAAGGCACACCATTTGAAAAATACGAGGGTTTGCACTTCCCCGCCTTTGAAGAAGTAAAAACTGGAAAATGAGGGGAAAACCCAACTTGCAGTTTCACTTTCACTCGCATACTGACATCCAGCTCTCTCACTCGGATCGCTTTGCCCCGACGGCGACGAGGAAGAAGGAGTAGAAGCAACGGGAAATGGAAGACGAAGATAGGCAGAAGACTCTGGATCTAGTCAAGGAGCTAGTGCACCGTCTCCTCTCTCACAATCCCGCTACACCAAACAACGCCGCCCGAAACCCTAACCCCACCGATCTCAACAACTCCTTCCGCTACGCCGTCCGCATCCTCTCCAGCAGGCTCACTCCTTCCATCGCCCCCGATGCCGCCGCCATCGCCGAGTCAATCAAGCGCCGCCTCGCCACTCAGGGCAAGTCCTCCCAAGCACTCTCCTTCGCCGATCTCTACAACAAGTTCGCCTCCAAGACGGGGGCCGGCAGTATCAACAACAAGTGGGCGGTTCTCTATTTGCTCAAAATTATATCCGAGGACAGGAAAGTGTCTCAGGCCTCGCACAATTTCGCACTTCACCTGCCCAGTTTGAGTCTGGATGACCGTGAATTGGGCGGGGAATCCCGCAATTTCAGGCGAGGGGAAAAGGGTTGGGAGGATGGGGTTTTGATGGTGGCCAAGGACCCCGAGAATTTGCGCGAGATCGCGTTTAGGGAGTTTGTGAATTTGGCCAAGGAAGAGAATGACGTGTCCGAGGAGGTCTTGGTGAGGGATGTTTTGTATGCTTGCCAAGGGATTGACGGTAAATATGTGAAGTTTGATGCCGATCTCGATGGTTATGTGTTGCCAGAGAATTTCAAGGTCCCCAGATCGACTAGAACTATGGTAAGAAAGCTCTGTGAGTTAGGGTGGTTATTCAGAAAAGTTAGAGGCTACATCACTGACAGTATGGATTCATTTCCTACCGAAGACGTAGGAACAGTAGGCCAAGCATTATGTGCTGCGTTGCAAGATGAGCTCTCTGAGTACTACAAGCTGTTAGCTGTGCTTGAGGCTCAGGCAATGAATCCTATTCCATTGGTTTCCGGGTCAGCTACTTCGTTGAATTATCTATCTTTGAGGAGGTTGTCAGTGTGGTTTGTGGAGCCGATGGTGAAAATGAGGTTAATGGCTGTTCTGGTTGATACTTGCAAAGTCTTGAAAGGTGGTGCCATGGCTGGTTCTATACATTTGCATGCTCAGCATGGTGATCCTCTTGTACATGAATTCATGAAGAGCTTGCTCCGAAGGGTATGCTCTCCGCTTTTCGAAATGGTTAGGCGATGGGTTTTGGAAGGAGAACTGGAAGATATATTTTCAGAGTTCTTTATTGTGAGCGAAACAAAGGAACTAGAATCTAATGTGAGCCAAAAAGGAAAAGAGTCCCTTTGGAGGGAAGGTTACAGGCTGCATTCCATGATGCTTCCTTCTTTTATTTCTCAGTCCCTAGCTCAGAGCATTTTGAGGACTGGGAAATCGATAAACTTTCTGCGGGTGTGCTGCGATGATAGGGGATGGGCAGATGCTGCCACGGAGGCTGCCGCTGCAGCAGGGACAAGCACAAGAAGGGGAAGTCTTGGATATGGTGAAACTGATGCACTTGAAAATCTGGTTGCTGAAGCAGCAAAGAGAATTGATAAACATCTGTTGGACGTTATGTACTCAAGGTATAAGTTCAAAGAACACTGTCTTGCAATCAAGCGTTATTTACTGCTTGGCCAAGGTGACTTTGTTCAATATCTAATGGATAGCATAGGGGAAGAGCTTTCTGAACCTGCTAGTACCATCAGTTCGTTTAAGTTGGCTGGCTTTTTGGAAAGTGCAATCCGATCATCTAATGCTCAATACGATGACAGAGACATATTAGATAGGGTGAGGGTCAACATGATGGTTCAAAGCACTGGTGATAGGGGATGGGATGTATTTTCACTGGAATATGATGCTAGTGTTCCATTGAACACGGTGTTCACTGAATCTGTCATGGCAGAGTATCGAAGGATTTTTAATTTCCTGTGGAAGCTGAGACGAGTTGAGCATGCACTTATTGGTGCTTGGAAAACGATGAAACCAAACTGCATTACCTCCAATTCCTTTGTTAAGCTGCAGGGTGCAGTTAAATCACAGTTACTTTTGACATTGAGGCAGTGCCAGGTACTGTGGAATGAGATGAACCATTTTGTCGCAAACTTACAGTATTACATTATGTTTGAGGTATTGGAGGTATCATGGTCAAAGTTTTCAGACGAGATGGAAGCTGCAAAGGATCTCGATGATCTTCTTGCAGCTCATGAGAAGTACCTTAATTCGATTGTAGAGAAATCTCTTCTTGGTGAACGCTCTCGGCCCCTCTACAAGTCACTATTTGTTTTATTTGACCTCATATTACGTTACAGAGGTCAGGTCGATCGATTGTATGAAGGCATCTTTGAGCTGCAAGCAAGGTACTTAGTCTCTTATCCTGTCAAAAAACCTATATATTAGTGTCGAGTTTTACTTTTTATTTAACTGTCGAAAATATGAAGCTTTTAGCTCTGTTTTGTCCAGAAATGCTGTGTCTTTACCCTCCAAAGACAAGAGGAAGTCATCGAAACAGACTGCAAAACGACCTGAGCCTCCTGGGTCATGGGTTGGTGAAGGAAGGAAGGCCCTAACACAACGTGCCGGAGAGTTTCTTCAAAATATGGGGAAAGAGTTGGGTGCCATCGCAAAGGAATATACATCACTGTTGGAAGTTTTCTTATCCGAGTTGCCTGTCCAGCAGCACATCAACTTGAAATTCCTTCTTTTCCGGCTTGACTTCACTGAATTTTATAGCCGACTGCATCCTGCTAAATGATGCAAGTTGTTGATACTTTAGAGTTCCCACCCCTACTGTAGTTACTTGCAAGAAATGGCCAGAGCTTTCCAGTATGGCTGATTGCTCACAGCCATATTGCTGAAGGAGTGTGCAGTTTCTCTTGCTTACATCAAGCAGACCCTTTTATCTAGGTACCGGAGCTTTACAACCCCTCAAAGCAGCTCTCTTGATTTGCTATCTCACTTTCAGTCTTCTGGTCAGATATCTGATGATGTTATTGGTTTGATCTATTGCAGATGGTGTGTTCTACTTTGTGATGATTTTCATGAAAATTTGGGATCATGGAAGAAGGTACTTTGTATCATTATGTGATTTGTTGTTAGAAGTAGTGGTAACTGGATTAGTGTGATGTTTCACCCTTGTAGAAAAAAACTGGTTCAGTTTTATGGTTTGAAGGGTGATTTCCTTTCAAGCTTGGGAAGCAGTAGGTCTCGTCATTTTGTGTTCTATAGTCTTGCAGTTGCCAAATGGTAGCAGTTTGCTGGTACACTGCTTTTGTTTTCACTCCCACTATTTTACTATCCAACTCTAATTCAACAATAACAATTTGGATAGCATGTCTGTAAATATCATCTGGCTCTTGCTGTTTGTGTTGAAGATTGCACTGAATGAAGAGTAGGGGTTTGTTTTTTTTTTTTTTCCTTTCGCGAGAGTGAATGGTAGTGGTTTCTGTGCTCTTCTGATCCACATATTATCAGCTCCATTTTACGGTTTGTGTCTCTTCAGTTCTCTGCTTGCTGAAATGCAGTGGCCTCCATGAGTAGTTCAAAACTGAAATATGATGCAGCATCAGGGGGTATCTGGTTAGGTACCAAGATAGGATTTAATCATTAGTTGCAAGCAATCATTCCAGGGCGGATCTCTGATACAGATTTTTTCGGCTTCTTCACTTGCTTTTTGTGGTTCAATGTTCATGTTCATTCTTTGCATGGATTGGTTCAGGAAACTGGCAATCAGCCATTATGTGGCAGTCTTTTGTTGTTGACAGCATAAGAATATGCCGATAAACCATAGTTGATTGCACTTTGCAGAGTTTGCCACTGAGATTTGGATTGGCGGATGCTGATCATATTTTGGTGAATGAGCTGATGCCACAGCCACTCTTTGCTCTAACACTGGTCAACTACAGTAAATCGTCATTGACAGAAACCCCTCCCATTTTATGTGTACTCAAGTAATCCCTGTATAAATCTTGGTTTCAATTTGCTTATGTAATTGCAATGAACATTGAAATTCTTGTGCTTTGAGTTCTAGCTAGTGAACACCAAACCAGATTGGATTATGGGATAACTGTGATTCATTATGATTGCTTCCATTTAGCAATTCACAAAAACTGTATTACACTGCAAATATTAAACTGTAACATCTAACTTGACTTGAAAACATAAAAATTTGACAGCAGTTACTGTAAGCAATCAAGGTCAGCCACCTAAGGTATATTTCCTTCCACTGAAAGGCTGAAACTGCTTATTCTCCGGTTTAGCTGCTGTAGCCACAGGTCTAGCTTGCACTCTCTGAGGCTCTGCACCAACACTCTGCATCTCTTCATCCGCGGCCTCCTCTGTCTCATTCAGCCTCCTTGCTGCTCCGGTGAACGGTATGAATCCCCGAGAACCACCCACTCCCTCTTCCCTGAGCTCCTGCGGCGCTGGGGCTGGCGCCGGCTCTTTGTAATCCAAAGGAACAGCAAACTCCACGGTGCAATCCGTGTCAATGATGCAGATGGCATCATCAGGCTTTGTCTCTACAATGTCGATGTAAAACGTCTTGCTCCCGACGTTGATAGCAATGGTGTCTCCGGTGGTCAGGCAGGAGAAGTTGGCGCCTAGAGTTTGTTCCAGCACCGCTTTCACGTCCCTTGTAGCCAAGAACGCAACGGAATGCGGCTGAAGCTTGGCGAAGGTGCCCTTCTCGAGAGTGGTGCTCTTCAGGAGCAGAGTCTCCCCTGCCTCCACCTTCAGATTCTCCATCATCCACCCCGGCACCATCATCGTCCCTTCTTCGGCGGTGAATTCCACCACCCCGCAGTGAGAAACCCGCTCCTTCGAGTCGTTCCTGATCTCGAACAGCATCGGGTAGCTTGGTCGGTTTCTGTAGAGAAACTCCAGGGCGGATTCCGGCAGTATGACCAGGTTCCCCTGTTCCAGATGCTCCCTACTGTTCCCGCTTATCGGACGGCAAGTGTAGGATCGCTGGAAGGGGTAGTAGCGGCTTTGGTGACCTTCGGGGTAGTCGCTGCCGCTGTCGTCGTAATCCTCGTCGGAGCTAGGATCCTCGGCTGGGACGGTGCGATCACTGTCGACCTCAGAGCTTTCCGATTCCATACCGAAGCTCTGCCCCTCCTCTCTTACGGCGGGGATGGTGTGATCGCTGTCGACATCGGACCCTTCGCCATCATCACCGAAGCTTTGCTCCACTTCTCTTACGGCCAGAACGGTGCGATCGCTGTCGACGTCGGAGCTTTCCCATTCCTCACCGAAGCTTTGCTCCTCTCTTACGGCAGGGATGGTGTGCTCGCTGTCGACATCAGACCATTCGGCATCCTCACCGAAGCTTTGCTCCTCTTCTCTTACGGCCAGAACGGTGTGATCGCTGCCGACGTAGGAGCTTTGCTCCTCGTCTGAGCCATCGGAATCCGGGTTGTCGCTCTGCTCGTCAGCTGTTTTGGTCTCTGCCCTGCTCTCCTTCTCTAGTTCTTGGGGTTCGTCTTCCACGATGACTCCGTTGGGGGCGCCTTCGGCCGTCTCCGGCAGGGTAACCAGTGGGTTTGTGGAGCTCTGGTCATCAGCGGCATGATTGGCGTCCATGGCGGATGTTGGGAAGAAGGAATCGAAAACCTGTAGCAAGAAAGTAGAGAGTATTAGTTGGACTCACAGGAGGCGTATCAGTTTACATAACGAGCAAAAATTGTACGGGATTAGGCAATTGGAAGTCTTGAGCGCCACGGAACCTCGGTAGGGCAAACAAATTTCTACCCTAATTCCGGAAGAATGTTTGTCTACCGTATTTGTCATACTACTACAGTATTCTATCATCATTCATAAGAAAAGAAAAAAAATCGAAACAAGTAAACCTCAGGGAACGTTCATTTCTAAGGAACTATGGTTAGATAATTGGATTGTTGTCTTGTTGATCTATTAATAGTCAACTTCACAACTACTTCCACTACTATTGGGGTGTCGAAAAGGGTCGGTTGGGGTTCACCTTTGAGGATTGAAGTATTGAGTTCAATGTTGTTGTACTATAGCGGATTTCGCTAAATTGGAGGTCTTTTGGTATAGAGAGACTGATGTTTTTTTTTCTTATAAATTTTGTGATGTGATATTATCTATTTATAATCCTCTTTCAGGCTTCTGTTCTGTCATGTTAATAATTACGGTTCCAAAAGTTGTTAAAGAGCGTATCTGAACATATGGCAAATAGATTTTTTTGTTAATATATCTTCCATATGTGTCTGAATAAAACAACGGGAAGTTTAATAAATATTTATCATCAGATGCGGGGTGCAGGTTAGACTTAATGCCGGCAGGACAAAAGGTTATGTCAACAAAATCTATAAGTTTTTAAAACTTTATTAGTACTAAAAGGTATGGAAGGCAAAAAAAAAAAAAAACACAATGAACATGCAAGTTATACTTAAATATCACATAAAAGCTAATACATTTAGGATTAGGGCTTTGGTTTAAGCTCAATGGAAATGAGAGCTTTTAAGGAGACAGCGGATGATAGGCGTGGTAGATGCATTTTGAGTGTTAATTAGTACTTTACTAAGCTGAAAAGTCTAGGCTAGAGTATTATTCAATACATGGAAATATTTTGCAACACATGGACAACTACTAATTGTCCTTCAACTGTAGCACTAAATAACCTCAGAGGGTTCTTGTATGATGACTATGTCATGAGGCTCGTTATCATATTGAATTAGAATTGTAATGGTGTTCAAACCAATATTATGATGATGAAGCTCATGCCTAGTGTTGGAGCTGCGTTCAACTATGTGTTACAACATCAAAGAAAACTTGGACCCATATGGTAATGGATCCAAAGGAGGAGATAGTTTGGCCCTAACAGTTGATGGAAATCAAGAAAAAGAAAAGAGAAAAGGCCAAAGGAAAAATCAAAATATGTTTTGCAGATATTACAAGAAAGTCATTCATGTGAAAAAAGATTTCTCAAAATTGAAGGAGAAAAAAAATAGAAAGATGTAAGAAAGAGGAGTAGGTTCCAATTTTTCTAGGTTTGTTTCTAGTCCAGGAAGTACTAGCAATGGTGATGACATCGCCAAGAGAGAAAGAAACTCAGAGGGAGACAGTTTAGGGTTTACAAATACGAAATTGAGCAATGAATACTATGACAAAATTCTTAATCTCTTGCACCAATCGCCTTGAGTGTCACCTACCACATCAATGATAGCTTCTCCAAGGATCATTCCTTAACCTAATTATGTATCTAGGCATTTTCTCCTTTCCAAACTTTGCACACAAAATGCATCTACCATTATACCCAAAATGATTGACTATATATACTATTGCTATCCATAATGAAAAAGCGCATTTACTTGTTTATATAATACACCGTATGATGGGCCATAAATTGGGAGAATTTTCATTGACTCAAAAATTTTGAGAACATGCAAAAAAATAGACTAAATCTCATCATTTTTGCCCCATTTATATTAGGATGCACACACTTTTTTTTAAATGTGGATAGTGGATATTGGAGCAACTTAGCATATATAATGTAGTTTATCTTGCTATAAAACACCATAATAGGTAAGGATGTCTTTCTCACTCGAAATAGGCACATGATTGAAGCAACACACTGAGGTTCTCTATGTACCATGATCCTTTACTTTCAACCTACTATATATCGAGATATTAACCAAACTTTAACTATATCACTCACCTGCAAATCTTCCTTCTGTTATATCTAAGACCTACTTACCATGAGAAGGATTGACTTTGCCCATCAAACTACAGGTCTATACCAAATGTCTCAATGCTCCTATCTCATCCAAGATGTTCAAGCCAATGTTCAAAAGTAGCTGCAAACTACAATTTTAGCCAAGAAAATCTTGATTTATGGCATTCAATACTAGTAAATATTCTCTATTGAGACAAAATTTAACTCAAAAGTCTAGAATTGTTGTAGAAAACCCTATAATATGTCATTATGAGATGTGCCACTTTGCTAAACACAAGAAATTACGATTTGAAATTAGTTATTCTGTAGCTAAGTCTCCTTTTAAGTTGGTTCATGGTGACATTTGGGGGCCTCATTATGTAATGAGTTACAATGGCTTTAAGTACTTTTATTTGGTGATTTTATAATGAAAACTAAGTCTATGGTATGAACTTCATATAATTTTTTTTGCATTATGGTGTTCAATTCTGTAGACAAGTAATTATCATACAATCTGAGTAGGGGTTGGAATTTCATATAAACGACTTCTATAATTGACATGAAATGTTGCATCAAACCTCATGTGTTGAGATACCTCAGCAGAATGGAAGCGTGGAAAGAAAACACCAACATATACTCAATGTGGCTAGAGATTTAAGCTTTCAATATGGATTACCATTGTCATTTCGAGGATATTGTGTTTTGCATGTTGTGTTATTGAAACAAATTACCACACTTTGTTGGGAAATCTGATACCATATGAGAAGGTTTATGGAAAACCACCAGACTGTAGTGTGTTAAGAGTGTTTTTATGCTTGAGTTATGCCAAACGCTTGTGTGTGGAAGTAAGAAGTTTGATACTAAAGCCAAAAATTGTGTATTCTAGGGTTACTCATCTAAAATTAAGGGTAAAGATTGTTAGATATATTAACCATATTGTATTTGTATATAAATAAGTTAAATATTATGATCAGATTTTTCCATATAGGAAAGATCAACCTTTATAGCCAAGCCAAAACACACATCCATATCTCAACCTATCTCATTTGGCCCTTCTCTCAAAACATGAGCATCTACTTCTAGTAAATCCAAACGTCAACATACATCCACCTTCTCATCCTAGTGGTGATAACCTTCACTAAGAACCTCCACCATACACATCCATATCACCTCAACAACCTATAAGGCTTGAAAATGATCACTTGGAGGACGAGGAAATAGAAGAAGAGGAAGTTATCATACCTCTTGAATACACAAAACTTGTTCTTAGAAGGATAGACATAATCTCTAATCCACCGGCTTATATTTTTCTAAGCTACCAAACAAACCCAAAACCACGAAATGCAAGTCCACATGTCCTACCAACTTCATTCCCCACAAAACCTTACACCAGCATTCCCTCATTATCCTAAACTTAACTAAACATAAAACGTATAGAGAAGCTATACAACATATGTTGATATGAATTGAAGACAAATTATTTATCACCGATTGGAAGTAGATATTATATATATATGGATACGACTTGTATGCTCCAGACGCATAGCACGCTCCATGCCTCTCTACCATTGATCTAATCTAATTGCTATTATTATTTATAATTAATTAATTTCTTATAAATAATTACAATTACTAATTACACCCCATAAATAATTATACGTCCACTACAACCCCCCAACAATGATTTAGATCTTGAACTAACCAGAGTTTGGGGCATGATACTATACCCTAAACTCTAATGGGTGAACCCTAGTCCCCAATTCTCTAACTCAAACCATACGATTCATTTAATCTTGAAATGCAAATCAACATTTTTATTCATCATAATTATCAAAGTACAAATAATAAGTGTGAATGCATGTGTATAGCGTTCGCCAGGCGTACGCTAGCCTTTGCCATATATAGGTAAGTTCTATGCTACCCAGTGTGAAATCTGGAGTACTGCATACCTTAAGTATGAAACGCTATTCAGACCTCGAGTTGTCTGATCTTCCCGACATGATACTATACTCTATCCCTTAAAGATCAAAATATATATCTTAATTCTCTAAATATTATACCCCGAGAAAAATTTAATTAGAAACAAGTCGCCACGCTTATGATTCGTCAAAATATATGCAAAAAAAATGAATGCACCATCTTAGGGTTTATAGTTTATGATTTAGATAATTAGAAATTAAGGGTTCACTCAGTAAGGGTTAGGGTATAGTATCAGGCCAAAAAAATCCTGCTAATTCGAGGTCTAGATAGCATTTTCATACTCAAGGTATGCGGTACCCCGGATTTCACCTGGGGTACCGTAGGAGCAACCAAACGCCCCACAACTAATCAAGCTAAGGCGTGCTCCTAGGCGTGCGTTCTTTAACATTTATATTTAGTACTTTTGGTCATTCTTATGTTTGTGGATTGAAAATGATGCTAA